CTTTCCCTTTAAAGATCTTCATGGAACCAGAGGGCCTCATTCAGACTTCCCTTTTATTACAGCTGACAAGTGATTTTCATACAGGTGTTTAACTAAAGTTAATTAAAAACAGACCCCAGAATCATACACATACAGGGGGAGGAGAGGAGAAAAATGACCAAGAGCAACTGGAACCACTGTTGTTGCAACTTCCTTTCCAAATAAAAGCAGAAGCGTTGGGAATGCAGTAACAGCCTCTTGACTCCTTGTCTTGGTGAGAGGCCTGTTGGGGGCCCTGTCCCTTCCTCATCCCAAAGGCCAAGGTGAGCCTGGGATGAGGACAAGGGACTTCCTCAGAACCCAGGCTCCCTCCCATCCTAACCCCCAGGCTCCAAGCAGGAAGCCACCCTGCACATAGTGTGTTTTCTGCCCTGGCTCTGGGGCAGCTGCCGTAGGGTACAAGAACAGAGCCCCAGACACCTTCCAGCTTCTGTTGAATCTCTTTAATAGCTGTTAACGGCAAGTCTGGAAAAGGTTCAGGACAAAGTTCTTTTTTCTTTCTTTTTTAATTACAAAACTAACAGCTGTTAGAGTCTTTTTTTTTTTTTCCTTTTTCTTTTCCCGGCTACAAAATACTCTGGGGAGATACATTATAATTTAAAATATATAATATTGCACAAACAACCAAAAGGTTAATTAAACTAAAGAAATAATTACAAAGAGAAAAACCCCATCCCATCAAAAAAAGATTCAGCATTCTCTCCATCCCACCCCCTCATTCAAGGTTTGAAGTGGAAGTGACCACCACTCTCCTGGCGTCCCTGACCACAATCACTTTAAATCATTGGTGAACACACCAGATTATATACAAGAATCACCAGAGCAGCATCGTGAAGCACCAGGGTCTCCAGGGATTCCTGCAGCCCCTCATCCCCCCAAGAGAGGTGCAGCTTTTACCAGAGTGGGGGGTGAGAGCCACAAGGATTGGATCTGCCTTCAGGAAGAAGAGCTTTTGCAGAAACCTGAGGACAGTCTCAAGAAGCTCACCCCCAGCATATCCCTTCAGGACGCAGAAGGGATGAGGCAGAGAAGTTGGGCTTACCAGAGTTGTAAGTACTCAGCTTTGATCACTGCTCTGTACCACTGGTAGCTGGCTTGTGTCCTAAGCTACTGGGGAGTCGAGGTGGGTAGCTGGTTGGACAAGGTATCCCGCCAGGCAACACACAGAAGGGCCTGAAGTGGCCCCCTCCCTTCCTGGGGAGGGGAAGAAGAGCAAGAGCACTCTTGCAGGTGGCACAGCTGGGCTAAGGACTCGGGTGCATCCGACATGAAGAAGCCTTGGGAAAGGCGTTGGGGACATACCAGCCTGGACTGGGTAAAAGGAGGGAGTTTGGTCTCTAGAACCTTTCCAGGAATGGAAGATGCCTGGGAGGGGGAGATTCCTAAGAGAGGCAAATTTCCCAGAAATGAATGCCTCTTACCCGCTGGGATAGGAACCAAAATGTGTTCACCATCCCTGTCTAGCCAAGGGCAGGTGGCATGGCCTTCTCTGCCTGCTTATGGATGACAGAGTGTGTTTTCTCGGCGTCCTCCAAGAGACTGGTAGCTTGGCCTCTGCCTACACAGGCAGATGGGCTAGGGCTATCCGTTGGGATTTCCCAGCAAGAGTCCCCAGGAACAGTGGGTGTTCAGCAGAGAAGTGTAGGCTCTTCTGGTGAGGGGGGTAGGTTTCCTCCCCCTCGGGTCATCCTATAGTTGGCACAAGTCAGAGTTCCTGGTTTGGATTTAGCAAGCCCCTTCCCAGATGTGAGCAGAGGCCCAAAGGGCCAACAAGGAACAACCCAGAATCTGCCTAGAGCTCTGGCTGACAGAGGCCATTTGGGGGACATTCTTAGTCAGTGTCTTCCAGGGCCGGGCGGAGACGAGCGAGGGAGGTGGGAAGTGCTGTGGGTAGGGGAGCGGCTTGCTCTGGCTCCCCTCATTCCCAGTCCTCCCACTCTACATCTTCCAGCTGCAAAGGGAGGGGATAATGGAGAGCACAAACACGTATTACTCCTCTGAGTCAAGCTGAGACCCAAGCTCCCCAGCTGCCTCCAATTCGGGACAGCCCTCCCCGCAGCCCCAGCCCCAACTCCCCCGGGCCATACCTGGCCTCCTCTCAGAGCAAACCACTTGCTTCAAGGAATGTCTGGGGAGCAGAGCTGCCCTCTGCCCAAGCGGTGGGCCTGCTGTTCTGATGGTTCCAGACTCAAAGGAAATGCTTCTACCAACCAACACTGGACACCACAAGGGGACGCCCTGACTACAAGAAGCCCGTCAGTCAATCCCTGAAGGAGAACTTGTCTCCTGCGGAGCAGGTAAGAACATGGCCCTGAGAGGCAGGGAACTTTACAGTGGTGCTGTGATCAGAAGCAAGCGTGGCACTGGACTACAGGTGCTCACAGGGCTTTCACTAGGAGCTCCAGCACCCTAATCCCCAGCTGAAGTCTCCCCAGGCAACTCTCTCTTGGCCTCTCTCTTCATATCAGCAGATCCCCTAATATGAATAATTCTGTTCAGATATATTGTATGTCAGGTTTGTGTGTGTGTGTGTGTGGTACGCGGGCCTCTCACTGTTGTGGCCTCTCCCATTGCAGAGCACAGGCTCCAGACGCGCAGGCTCAGCGGCCATGGCTCATGGGCCCAGCCGCTCCGCGGCATGTGGGATCTTCCCGGACCGGGGCACGAACCCGTGTCCCCTGCATCGGCAGGCGGACTCTCAACCACTGCGCCACCAGGGAAGCCCTGGTACCTGTATTTTTTAGTAGTTCCTCAGGTGATTTTGATAGGAGCTAAGGTCAAGAACTCCCCCATCCATCCCCCTGGAATTGAGGGGAAGCGGACCCTGCTAATGACTACTGTTCAGGGCCTGAGTGGGAGGCCCTAGCTTCCTTCCCGCAGCCTGCCACCTCAGACAGGAGTGGGATCCACCTTGAGGGGACAGTCGGGCTTGGCAGGGAGAGTCCTCAGACCTGGAATCACTGTGCTTGCCTCCCTGTGGCCAGCCAGGCCCACTCACCTCACCGGAAGCATCCACTTTGGAAAGTGCCATCTGCACTTCTTCTTCAGTCATGTCCAAGTCAAAGTCCTTCTCCCAATCCTCACTGATGTCTGTGCTTGAGCCTGGAACCGTGATCCATAGTGTGAGAGACAGGAAGGGGTATGTGAAGAGGTTGTAGCTGGGGGTGATAGAACTCTTTAGAAAGGCCTGACAAATACACACCAAAGGTCTTTACATTCTGCTTTCTCTGGCTCAGTGATCCCACTTTTAGGAATCTATTTTAAGGAAAAATCCTGGATTCAGTAAAAAAATTTAACCAAAAGGATGTTCACTGTAGTGCTGTTACAGTGATGAAAACTTAAAAAACTACCTGAAAGTTCACTGATAGGGAATTACAAAAATAAATGGTATAGTCATATGATGGAAAGTTATGTGGCTTTTAAAGGTTAGGCTATAGAACATTTATATACATGCCAAAATAGTCTTAAACTATTAAGTGAGAAAAAGCAAGTTACTGAATAGTGGAGAAGTACTGGGGTCCAGAAGCTCCCTAGGGGCCATGGAAATCTTCCAGAAGAAATAAACAATGAACCTCTTCCTCCTCAATCACTCCCTTCTACCTACACTGATCCTGCTACTCCTGAAACACACCAGGCACATTCCCACCTAGGGCCTTTGCAAGGACTGTTCCCTGTACCTGGAACTCTTCCTCAGATACCCACAGGCCAACTCGCTCGCTTCCTTCACACCTTTACTCAAATCTCACCATCTAAACGTGGTCTACCCAGACTGTCCTATTTTCAGTTGCACCCTGACCCCTCACTCTGCTCTGGTTGTTCTTTTTTCTATTGTATTTACCACTTTCTGGTGTATTACATAATCAGATTCACTATGCTTACTGTCTAATAGTAGAGGAGCTGGAATGTGAGCTCCCGAGGACGGGGATCTTCTGTTTTCTTATGTATTCCAAGTGACTAGAACAAATAGTTTGTACTCAGTAAATATTCGTGGACTCTTTCTCTAAATCAGGGGTTGGCAAACTATGGCCTGTGGACCAAATCCAGCCTACTGTCTGCTTTTGGAAATAAAATTTTGGAACACAGCCATGGCCACTTGTTGACATATTGTCTATGACTGCTTTCATGCTGAAACGACAGAGCTGGGACAGAAACTGTATGTCCCCAAAAGCCTAAAATATTTGTGACCTGGCTCTGTGCAGAAAACATTTACTCCTCCCTGTTCTAGGTAATTCTGATGCCTGCTAAGGTTTGACAACTACTGCTCCAAACATTCATATTTGGGTATGTTTTCTTACAGGCAATATAAAAAAAATGTACATGTGAAAGTTATTAGTAAGAAGAAAACTACAAAAATAGTTCCTGTAAAAAAGAAGAGTATATGCAGTATTATTCCATTAAAAAAATACACTCACAGATGCATGCACACATACAGAGAGAATGAGCAAAACACCCACAAGAATACTAACAATAATTATCACTAGGTGATGAGGTTATGGGGTAATATATTTTTTTAAATGAACACATATTACTTTGTAATCACTTTTTTAAAAAGCACCTTTAAAAAGAGAAAGCTCTAAAAAAAAAAAAAGAGTAAGCTCTGATCCCCCAATGGCACCACCTGTAAATACCTTGTTTCTTCCTGTCCAGCTTGTTCCTCACCATGCACCCAGGCTCTGAGACCTCCCCAAGCCCGGCCTCCACGTTCCTTATTCGGGTTCTTGCACTGTTCTCTAGTCACCCAGCTAGCCATAAGTGGTGTGGTAACAGCAGGGTCTCTGGAGCCAAGCAAACCTGGGTGGAACCCTAACTCTTTTATCTATTGTGTAGTCTTGCGCAAGTTATTCTGGGCTTCAGTTTATTTATAATATAAGGATAAAACCACCCTCTTTGCAAAGAACCACTGGAGGAGCTTATTAGAATGCAGATTCCTGTCTTCCCATCCCCCCTCATTTAGATTCAGCAGGTGTAGGTGGTGACCCAGAATTCTGCATTATAAACAGGTACCTAGATGATTCTGTATAGACCTTGGCCTGCAGTTGAGATACAACAGTGTTAAAATTAGCAGTATCATGTAAAGTGCCTGTAACATATATACATAGTGGATATTTAACAAATGGAGCTGTTAAAGGCCTGGTCCCAGAGTTAAATAATTTTGCACATGGTCCCACACCCAGTCAGAGGCAGATCTGCAACCAAGACCCAGTTCTTCTGACTCCACATCTAAGGCTCCCTGTGCTTTCAGGACACTCTTGGTGGCTTGCGTCTGGCTCCCTGTCAGTGCAGGCTTCCTGTGGGTTAGAAGCTGGACTCCTGGCTGATTTCTCCCTCCAGAGCTGTGGCTGTGGTCATGACAGCTTTTCCTAACCCCAGGTTGCCCTCTAGGGATTTGAAACTCTCCTCTTCAGGCTTAAATGCTAGGGCAGACCCTTCGGGGTAAAAAAGAAAGCATCAGCTAACATTTTTGGAGCACTTTACACCCACCCTGTGGGATAGGTATTAACAGTTCCAATTTACAGGTGAGGAAACAAAGGCTCTGAGTGGCAGAGATGTGAATCTGGGCTTTCTCTGCCACCTGCTTCCTCCCACCATCCTGTCCTGTCACACAATGAGAGTACTAAGCTCTCCTTTACACTGTGCATGTGGCAGAGAACTGATCTATGCAACAACAATTTAAGATTTCATGATGAAGTTTTACTGTTTTCTTTTGTTTGTAAGAAAGGGGAGTTTTCAGGTGATTATTAACCTCATGGTGCTGTCACTCACAGCTCATTTTATTCTGTTTAGTTGGCTCTTTGCTCCTCCAGAGAAGAAATGGAAGCAAAAGCCACTCCCAGGTCAGTCAGTAGTGAAGTGGGGCTTTAAGCCCAGAGCTCCTTCCAGTCTGCAGGCCACAGGGCCTGCCCTAATCTCCATTCTCTGCTCCCTGCTGAGGGAGCCTGAGCAGGGTAAGTCTAGTCTCCTTGCTCAAATGGATCTCGGCACAATATACAGGTGGGAAGCAGCTCTGCAATGACAGGCATCACCCTGGGACCTTAGAGGTCCCTGTGGCTGGGCCACCTCCAGAGACTGCTGTATCCAGAGACCAAGCCTCCCTCATGTCATCTGGACAAAGAGGGAGAAGGAGTCACCCTGCCTCCAGGCCTCTTTTAAGATTCTTCCTCCCTTTACTCTGTCCCTACTGTCCCACCCTAGTCTGAGACCCCAGCTTCCCCCACTAAGTGACTGCAACTACTTCTGTTGGGTCTCCTGCACTGAATCCCCAGGCCCTCCTTTTGCGAATCCCCCAGGGCGTTAGAGGCAGTATAGTGCACTGTTAAGAGCTTATGCTGCATCTTCCCCATAATCTCATTTCTTCCAGTCTCTACCCACCATTCATTTTTTCTCATCACTCTCTCCAATAGCCCAATTCCCAATGGAAACAATAATTCTTTAACCTTCTGTTTCACTGTTATTCCCTCCCTTACCCAGCTCAGATTCCATGAACCATCATTCTGATCACTTCTTGCATACACTTGGACTCTTGTCTTTTTGAGTTCACCTGGGTAAACCCGAACCCTGATTAAGTCCAACTCCCCATCTGCTCTGTGCCTGCACCTGAGCAACTGAATGTGGCTGGACAAAAGTACAACTGTGCTGACTGGTGTCTCTTAAAATTCATGACCGTTATCTCAAATGGACCCTTCGTACCATCTACCCAGCAACCACACACCACATATTGGGTCCATCACCTACTCTTCACTCTCCTAAAGGCAATGTCACACTTTTCTAAATACCTACTGGATGGGTAATTGATTTCAGTTTCCTACCAGTAAAAAAAAAAAAAAAAAAAAAGGGAAAATCTCACAGATCTCAGGATTTTTGTGAGGATTGAGTGATATGCCTATCAAGTGCTTAGCACAGAGCTATACAGACATATGGAAAGTGCTCAGAGAATGGTACGTCTTATTATCTGCATCATCTCCCCAGAGCAGGGCTCCACCCAAATTTCTTCCCTAACTGAGGACCTATCAGGAAATAATTACCCCCAACTTACAGAGGAGAAAACAGAGGCTTAGAGAAGATCAGTAGCTTTTCTGAAGTCACATGGCTTATGAGCAAAGTTGGGATTTGAACCCAGAACTGTCTGAACTCCAGAGCCTGAGCCCTTAGCCTCTACATGTAAAGCTTTTAGTACAGGTTGGGCATATAAGCAGCATGCCCTGCTGCTTTGTGGCACCAAGTCCAACTTTCTGAATTCGGCTTAAGATTTTAAGTCCTTGTTCCTCCCTCTCCTGGGAACAATACAGAAACGTGGGCTTTGGTCACCCCCTTCAATGTGCCCCATGTCCCCATGTCCTTAACACACGATCTGCCATGTGGGGGACTTTGCAGGCCCCCTCAGCCTGGACTACCGCTCCCCGCGCACCAGCCGCAAACTCTCCAACTCTCCTATACAATGCCTGTCTCCTTGGTGAAACACCTGCTGATGCGCAGAGGTTCCTTCTTTCTCTGAACTCCTCCTGTACCAAGCCTGTCTCATACTGCTCTGTGCCTCATCATAGACTGCAGCCTTTAACCCTCCCTCCTCAGTGTCTTATAAAGAGTAGGTAGGAGCTCAATGGATGACCTCACTGAACCAGAGTCAGAAGGAAAACACTCTGTTGGAAACTGGAAATCAGCCTGTTTCCCATCCACTGCAGTAAGCCAGTCCCTCACTGCCAGTAGGCCAGTGCTCACCTGCTGGGCAAGCTTTGTGGCCAATTGGTGCTGAGTGTTGACAGACAGGATGCCTGCGTGTGAGGAGCTGAGGGGAGGTCTTGCTGACAATTGGCTATCTCTGGAGAGGTATTTTGGATGTGGCAAAACAAGCTGACACCAGAGCCATCACTGTCCTTTAATTGCAGGAGTTAGAGAGAGGTCCCCCCTTGACATAAAGTCAAAGTGTCTACAGTCTAAAATTTCATTATGCAGATAAGAAACTAAAGCTCTATTACTTAAGCTGGGTCACTGAAAGTTCATGAGTATTCATTTTATTCTTCTTTAAGCTGTACATGTAAGTTTTGTTTATATATTTTATAATAATAACAATTAACACAGGCCTAGGGAAGCTAACTGACTTTCCTGAGGTCATCCATGGTAGAAGACCCTTGACAGCAATCAATGTCACAGGAGTTCCCACCCCAAAGTTGAACTGTTCAAAAGGATAGAAACTGACACAGTGTGGTAGTTAAGGGCATGGGTTTCAGGTCAGACACAGCTGGGTCTGAATCTGGGCTTGCTACTTCCTGACCATGTGAATTTGAGCAAGTTACTTAACATCTCTGAGGCTCACTTTCTTCAGCTGTAAAATGAGGACAGTTATATGGAGCTGTGAGTTGTAAACTGGAAATTAACAAGCTCCCCTGGTAACTGAGAAATTAAATGCAATATTACATCCTTAACCCATGATTTGACATAAACCTTATTTTGTTGAATCTAAAACCCCAACAACTGTAAGATGCATCCTAATTTCAGAGAATAAATGCATCTTGGAATTGATGGAATAGAGTATAATAAATACTATAGTAGCTGTCATCATCATATAGTAGCTGTCATCATCATCATCAGTAGCACAAAGGAAGGCCATCTGCTCCTAGGATCCTCACATGGGACAAGGAGACAAGTCTGCCTTGTGAGGTGGCAACTCCCACCTGCCCTGCCCGCACACACTCCCTGGGCTTTGGCCTTGGCTTACCTTTTCTTTTTTTTTTTTTTTTTTTTTTTTTTTTCTCACTGTTGTGGCCTCTCCGATTGCGGAGCACAGGCTCCGAACGCGCAGGCTCAGCGGCCATGGCTCACGGGCCCAGCCGCTCCGCGGCGTGTGGGATCTTCCCAGACCGGGGCACGAACCCGTGTCTCCTGCATCGGCAGGTGGACTCTCAACCACTGCGCCACCAGGGAAGCCCATAGCTTACCTTTTTTTCCATTCGAGGGTGTAGACTTCCCGCTGTCTGAATTCAGCTCAAACACCCGTAAGTCTGTGAGTACCTCCTCCCTGAGAGTCTCTACTCTGGCTGGAGGCCGGGGCTCTGGACCGCTGGGGCGGCCAGCAGGGGTGTGGGGCTTAGACTGAGCTAGGGGTGGGGGTCCAGTCTCGCCCATATCCACAGCCAGGTCCTGTTCCTCCAAAGATGCCTCTAGAAGCTTTTGGGACAGGTCCTTGGGCAGCACTGGTGCCTCAGATGCAGGGGTGGGTTTGGCAATCTGTGTCACGAGGGAGATGCTCTCACTGCTCTCTGATGGAGTCACCTCTGTTGGAGCCTCAACCGGGGTCACCAGATTCTCTTCACAGGGGCTCCGGGGGCCAGGTCCTCCTTCAAGGGATGTGGAAGTTTTGGCCACAGGAACCTTGGCCTCTTTTGGAGATGTGGGTGAAATGCCCACAAGCTCCTCTGTCAAGAGAGAAAGGTAGGGAAAGACAGTGATGTACCCTGCTTAGCCCCAAGACAACCTTGGAGCTCTCTGAAAACAGACCTCAGGTTCCCACCAAAGTTTGCTCTAACCAAAACTAATGGGTGCCAGTTTCCTCACCTCCCTCTCCATCACAATTCTTCTGCAGATAATCCCTGTTGGTCAAAGTCTCTCCCACCCTTGAGGCATAGCACATGCCTGGTGGGCACTCAGCTTCTAGCAGTGCAGCCCAAGATAATATTATAGCTTAGAAAGCCAAGACTTTAAAGTCAGTCAGTTTGAGGTTCAGGTTGGGCTCTGCTATATCCCACGTGCATGATCTTGGGCGAGACACTTAACTCTTCTTTAACCTACTTGCCTCATTTGCAAAAGAGCGATAATGAAGTTGTGGTAAGGACCATACATGTAAACCTTTTAGTACAGGTTGGGCATATAATATAAGCACTTAGTAACTGTGTTAACATACCATGCAGGTGGCTCCCACACACTATCCTAAGCTGAGCTACCAGGTAGAGGAAGCTCAGCTCCATCCCTAAGCCAGCAGTTCCCAAGTCTGGCTGGTCATTAACATTACCAGTGGAGCTTGTTAAAAATACAAGTTTGGCCACATGTCCATAGAGTCTTATTTAGAAGTGGAAGAAGGGAATCTGGAATTTCAATAAGCATCCCCTACTCTTAAGTACTGGTCCATGGGCTAGCAGGGAAATCTGCTTCAAGTGACACATGCGATTTCTGTACCTAAACCTGGGATCCACCAGCCTTGGTAAACAACCCCTTGTTAGCTCAGTGTATCCTTGGCATGTGCAAACACCATATTCATTCCCTCCTCTTCCCTGGGGTGCCATGTCCCTCCAGGCTTCAGAGAGAATGGCCCAGACAGTCTCCCACAGGCAGGACTTGGTACTTTCTCATCACCTCTCAATACCTCTTACCTTCTTCCTCCTCCCAGCCAGGTTCTTCAGAGATGCTCTGTTCTGCACGCTGCTTCAGGGCATCCCTCCGGGCCTGCTCCTGAATGTGGGGGAGTAGATGGCCAGGAGCAGTCAGGGAACCCTCTTTCCCAGACTCTGGTCCTGACCCCAGAACTCTTGGCACCCTCTGGCCCCTTCTTCCCTCAACAAAATCCAGCCCCCTTCCCTCATGGCTGAGTGGAGGACCTTCCCTGGTTAGGCCAGCATACCTGCTCTAGTTGATGGACTTTATAGAAATACCGCTGCCAGAATTCTGAATGGGAAACAGCTGCAGGCACCTGGAGGGAGGGGACAGTGGAGATGAGACTTTGGGAGTGGCTATGTGGGGTCTATGTTCCCAGCCTCATCAGCCAGCTCCCAGCCACTCTGGATATCAGATGGGATAAGTGGCTGAGTAGTGATTCTTAGAGCACTTCCACCCCCCAGACCCACCTTTCTGGCCCAGCTTGGCCAAGGAGGGAGAAAAGAACTCCCACCAGGCTTTGCTGGCCCTTCCATTTCTCACCGTGATTGCCAGAAGCCTGGCAAATTAGTTTCCCCCACGTGGATTCTTGGCTCAGGAGCCGGCTGGTTTGGCTCCTCAGGGCCTCCTGCTGCTCTCCAGGCCAGAGGACTCCACAATGACTCTGGACATGTCCCTCCCACCTCCCCACACCTGAGGCCGGGAGTTGGTTGAGGTCCTGCCGGCTGGGCCCTCACCATCTTGGTGTAGAGGGCCCGGATGGAGGGGCTGCCTACAAGGAGCTCTGAGATCTCCCCCTTCTTCTCCTCCAAGCAGAACTGGGAAAGCCAGGTGTCAAACAACTCCAGGGGCCCTGCAGAGGGACAGACACTGATGGTCAGTTCCGTGGGTCTGGAGAAAGAACACTGGGCCTAGAGAAATCACACCTAAGCCTGGACATGGACAATGAGGAAAGCTTAAGGTTTTTCCAAAGCCATATGGCCCAAGGTGGGGGGGTCAGGCAGGGTGAAGCGGTGGGTAAGCTTGATATCACGGCATGGCCCCTAAGTGATCACTGGGAGGGGCTGCAGTCTCCACTCTCTCCCATGCCTGCCTGCTTTTTATCCCACTGCACTTGGCTACTGAATCCTCTCCTCTCTGAAACAGCTATTCTCAGGTTACCACCAGTGACCCTATGTTGCCAAATCCAGTGGCAGATTCTCTGTCCTCCTCCTCATGTGACCATCCTACAGTTTCTGCCCTGGGAGCCACTACCTTCCTCTTGAAGCCCTATTCTCTCCTGGCTTCTCACTCTTTGTATATTTCCTCCCACTTCTCTCATTGTTCCATCTAAGTCTTCAGTGGGCTCCTCTTTTTCCTTTCCTTATCTCTTCTTGTTTTCCATTTTCTCCCAAGATAACCTCCACTAAACCACGAGTTTCAACCTCTTCCTCCCACTGACAATTCTTCAGTGTGTCTTTGCAGCTCAGGCTGCCTTTCTGGGCTCCAGATCCAGAGGTCCAGGTGCCTGGACACATCCACCTGCACATATGCTGCAAATACAACGTGTGCTCATCTTCTTCCCTCCCCCACCTGTCCTACCCACTCATCCACTGGAGAGCTGGAGGCCCTCCCAGACTTCTCCCTTATGGAGTCACTCTGGATTCCACTTCCTCAGCGTCTCTTATACATGCATACCTTCCTCTTCATTCCACCTGCCCCTTCCCTGGTTCTGGCTTTACGTCTGACATGAAGATTCCTATCAAGCCTCCTAACTGGTCTTCCCATCTTCCGTCTCTCCCTCTCTATTTCATCCTACAAAACACTGCCTGAAGGCTCTTTTATAAAATGCAAAATCTGATCACATCAGGTCTCAAAACGCTTCAACAGTTCTGTACAGGAGGGCATTTCAGGCTATGGTCCAAAGATGGGCTTCAAAGGGTTAAAGAATTCCCATATGCATATAAAATTCTGTTGAGAGAGGGCTTGTTATTTTTAACAGATTTTTAAAGGCATTTGTGACTTAAAAAAAGGTTAAGAACCACTATCTTGAGCCTTTTAGGATAAAATTCCAACTGCTTAGTCTGGTACCCAAAGCCTTTCCAGTCTGGTGCCCCTGGCAGCTCTCACTGCCCTCATTTCCTCACATGCACCCTTTGTCTGGCCTTCCCAAATGCCTAGGTTTTTCGAGAACTTCAAATTCCTGTTGTCCTGCTTGAATACCCTTCCCCCACTTCTAAAAGTAAAATTAGTTTACTTCTAATTCATCGTTAAAACTTCAATTCAGGTGTCACATCCTAGGTTTTCCAGGCTGGGTTACATGCCATCTTCTGGGATCCCACTGCTCCCCTCTTACTGTGGAAGCAGTCGTCACTCTATCTCTAGTATCTTTGCTTTATTCCCTGTTTCTGTCTCCTAACAGCAGGTTCCTGGAGGTCTGGACAGGGTTGATTGAGGGTTCGACTCATTTCTGGTGTCTGGTTCCCAGCCTGGGGCTTGCTGCACAGCAGGAGCTTAGCAAACAGGCCAAAGGGAAGGCAGGCAGGGCAGCAGGGCTGGGAAGGAGCCTAAGCTGAGGATGAGGGATGAGAGGAGCAAAGCCTCTGTAGAAGGGGATGAAGACAGTCTGGGTTCAGGGAGGAAGGGGGACCATCAACCCATCCCACCAGATGTAAGGGTCAAACTAGCCCCACTCTGGTCCCTCTACACAGGGGGTGCCTGGCCACTGCTACCAGAGACAAACAGGGTACGCAATCCAGACCCGCTTGGTCTCCCTGCCCAGCAAGCCTGCCCCCTCACCGCTACCCCCTCACCATCTGGTTCATTGCAGTAGGTTGCTGGGTCTGACTGCAGGCTATAAAGGCGAGCCTAAAAAAACAGAGAAAAGAACAGAAATTCTGGGGTGATGGGGATAGAAAGCAACCCCTCTCTGCCAATCAACCACAACCCAGCTTCTCCCCTGTTGGCTACCATACCCACAGGGCACCTGGCAATTAACACTGTGGGCTATGGAGTGGAGCACTGGGCTAGGAGTCCAAAACTGGGGCTCCTAGAAAAATGGTCTTTCACCCAGTATTCCACCCCTGGAAACTAAGAAAATAAAGGGTAAGGAGGCTATTAAATTATATGTATAAAATGGTTTTGAATTATGTGAGATATGAAAAATGTTAGTGCAAATATATTAATAAAGTCCAAAATTTATTGGCAAATTCTGAAATATTTAACTCCCTCAAATTAAAACAATTCATCAAGAATTTCTTAATTTCATAGCTAGTCTGCCAAATGAACTGCAATCTGTGTTCCCATTAGGGCCACAGGAGTGGCAAACTTTAGCTGGTAAACGGAAAGCCCCTCCTTCCTTCCTCATTATTGGAGGAAGCATGGGCTGGCTGTATCACAACTTCAGCAAGCGATTTTGGTGATTCACTGTTATAATTTAAAATCCTGTAATTAAAAAATTTTCACAATCCACTTAAATGTGTACTAAGTGGTGGTGCTAATACTAGTGCTGAAAAACATGCTTGAAAAATCATGTTTGGAATTGAAATTCAATGTGGTAAAATGCTATGAAGAAGGCCAAACTGCTGTGACACCACACTGTGAATCTGGGAGAAAACGCTCCACAAAATATAAGAAGTAATGGTGAGAAGATAAAATGCAATAGAAATATACTACCATTCTTGTTGATTTAATTGCTTTGAAGATATCCTCCCCCTGTACATTTATTCCTATTGGAAATTAGTCTTAAATAACACAAATGTGGAGATCATGCCCGTAAAGATGCTGTGCAGAGCATTCCTTATTATGGATGAAAGCTGAAAGGAATCCAAATGTGCAGCACTAAGGAAATGACCGAATAAATTACGCTACATACACTTGCAAGAATTTAAAGACATTAAAAATGATGGTGATTAGGAAAGATGCTAATAGTTAATTGCAAATTTTTAAGTGGGTTACAAAATTGCATGTATAAAGTGCTTTTTCTGTTAAAAAGAAAAACCCAAAACTATCTTTACCAGTGTTTGCAAGCAGAAAGAAATGGAAGGTTATACACCAACGAAGAATCAGTGGTTCTCTTTAAGTGATGGGATTACGGGTTTAGAAACAATCATCTTCTTGCTTATTGGTATTCTCCAATTTAATTATATACATGTATTTATTTTTTATGAACATGTACTGCTTTGTGAGCTCCGGTTAGAAGCTAGAGCCCAGTGCCACTAGTGAATACCTTGGTGCCATCATAGGGCTCAGCCGTGCCAGAGGGTGTGCCCATCAGGGTGATGACATCGCAGTCAATGGTTTTGTCTGGTGAGGGTGCAAAGGTGTCGGAGATCACCCCTAGGAAGTCAGACAGCCCTTTCTTCATTTTTTCCGTTGCTCCCGAGGAGCCTTCAGTCTGCAGAGAGAAGCCAACAGAGGAAGCAAGTGGCCCAGGAGCAGGCTGCAAACTGGGGTACAGGGTATGGAGGTATGAAGCATCAGGGGTCAAAGTGTACTGTGTGTGAGGACCAGGGAAATGCTCACGACCTTTCACCCCCATCTCTGGGGCTGGAGAAGGACAGAGGGGCAGCCAGAGTCCCCATCCCCCAGATGGGGTTGCAGAACAGGGCCACAGTAGGCCTGTGTAGGTCAGAGCAGAGCTCCTTGACTGAATGTTTCAACAAAATTTCAAGGTCGACCAGGCTGATCACAAATTGACAGGGGAGGATCCATGCCACAGACATTCAGTGGGGAAGAGGACTTATGGGTAGAGTGATGGAAACGGTACTAGCTTTGGGGTCAGTCTTGGATCTGAATCCCAGCTCTACTACTTTTTGGTATGAAACCTAAACCCTCTCAGAGTCTGTTTCCTTATCTGTAAAATGCAGATAAATATACTTCCTTCAGGGGGGTACTGTGGAGATTAAAAGAGATAAGGTGTGTACAATGCCCAGCACATGGCAAACATTTAATAACTAGCAGTACTGTAATATTACAATCTCATCATCATCATTGCTCAGGAAGTATTTTGTATGAAAGGTTGAGGACATATGGGTAGGATGAGAACAAACAGCCTTGTGTAGAGGCAAACCTGGGACCAGCTGAGGGCCAATGTATGGACCTCCTAGAAGAGGCAAGTGGGGCACCAATCTTGAGCCACACTGGTCAGAATGCCTTTGAGCAAGAAGGGATGGGATGGGACTTTCCTGGTGGTGCAGTGGTTAAGAATCTGCCTGCCAATGCAGGGGACAGTGGTTCAAGCCCGGGTCTGGGAAGATCCCACATGCTGCAGAGCAACTACGCCCGTGAGCCACAACTACTGAGCCTGCGTGCCACAACTACTGAAGCCCGCATGCCTAGAGTCCGTGCTCTGCAACAAGAGAAGCCACTGCAATGAGAAGCCCATGCACTGCAATGAAGAGTAGCCTCCACTCGCTGCAACTAGAGAAACCCACATGCAGCAACGAAGACCCAATGCAGCCATAAATAAATAAATACATACATACATACATACATGCATAAGTAATAAGGGATGGGAGGCTGAGAGACAGGACCAGGCTCTGCAAACCTTGTAGAAAAGTGTCACATTTACTCCTGATTAGGCTGCCCAGGTATTTTAAACCTAGAGACTATCAATAGTGCCTGGCACATGTTGGCACAGGTATATAATCATATTTGTTGAATGAGAAAAGGAGTAAATAAATGAAAGAAACAAGTGGCATCTCTGCTACTGGCTGGACTTGCAGCAGTTCAGCTCGATTACTACTTGTCATTCACACTCATCAGTAGCTGTGGTTAGCAGGCAGACAGTATTTTACAAGATTCAACAAAAGAAGCTTGGCTATAAAAACTCCATAACATGTTTTCCATAACACGGCCTCTAATTACAAGGCAACTGATTCAGCTGATGATCAAAGAAACTGAAATCTGTTCCAATACTAAAGGAGAAACTGTAATACAAAACCAGTATACTATACTTCATTGGAAATTTCAGGTTTGCAGGGATATCTTTGACCATATACAATTTTCAAGTTCCATGCTGACTTTAGAATCTAACTCCTATCTCACAAGAGAACTCCACTATACATCTCTCATTGATAAAACCAGGGCCAGTAAGAATATAAGTTGGCAAAACCTATCTGGAGGGCAGTTTTACAGTAGATATTAAAAGGTCTAAAACAACTATATTCACCCTATATCCTTTCCAATACCTTATCAGGAAAAAAATATTAAGGGGAAAGATTAAGCAATCAGCATAACTGTAACTCTGTTTACAATACTGGAAAAAACAAACAGGAAACGAGGAACTGGTCAAATCCACATAACAGAATACCATGCCATTTATGCATGCTCTAGAACGAGGTTTGCAATGATAAAGTCAAAAACTAGGTTATGAAACATGGTGTTCATTTGATCCCAGTTTTGAAAAAGAAAGTATACATAAGGGATATACTCCTCAAATATTAACAGTAGTTAATCTCTGGGAGAGGGACTTATGGGTATCTCTAGGTCTTTCTTTTTCTTTTATTTATCTGTATTGTCTAAATTGTCTACAATGAATGACTTTGCCGATCTGCTAAAACAATACAGAAGTGGGAAAGCTTGTTATTACTTAACATATGTAGCTTGTTTGCTTGACAGACATAATTTTCAAAATGGGAGCCTATGGGAAAAAATAATCACTTAATGGTAGAAAGGTTGGGAGCTCCCACCAGGGTCCCAGGCAGGTCAGGCTATGTGGGAAAGTCACTTGGAGGGTGTAGGTGGTACTCACAGCCAGCTTCTCCTTGACCACGCTGGCAGTGGCTGCAATGGTGCAGGCTGTGTCATGCTGCACCACCTGGGTGAACTCTGTCAGGTCCCGCTTCATGAACTCCAAGGCTTCGGAGGACTAAGGGAAGAAAGAGAGGGATGACAGAGCCGGCTGGTGCCACCACCCTTTGTTCCTATTCCCTGTGCGTTAGTACCAGACAGAAACATGGAAAACTCAGTGACATGGGAAGCCTGGGCTCAGAAACAATGCTTACTTTCCCCAATTCCATGACCTGGGATTACCCAACAGCAGAGAGCACAGAGGAACTTCCTGCTGCTCTGAGAACGGGGACTGAGCTCAGCCCAGACACTTATAAGCTATGTGGCCAGGAGGAACTCTCATCTAGCCCTCGGTTTTCTCCTGGGAAATGAGGGAGGTGGAAGAGATCAGTAGTTCTCATGAGCAGAATGGAGAAGAGGGCACATGCAGTCTGAAAACAAAACAGACTTCAATGCATCACTTAGCTATGCTGTAAGTCATGACCTTTGTTTCCAATTTCAAACACAAAGAGAAGGTGTGTGTGTGTTTTTTTTTAATCAAAGGAAAGTGTTTTCTATTTTTACTTTTTTTGTCACAGGGAAATTCAGTTGAAACATGAGACAGTAGGTGAAATTATTTGTGTGAAAGGTTTTATAAATATGTTGTACTGGTAACAGCAATAGTTTAGAAAGCTTTTATGAGCAATTTTTGACAACACCAGTGAAAAAGGTGTGTGATTTTTTACATTCAACAAATCGGGTGTAAAAAGAAATACTGGATCAGATTCTCTCCTAGGCCGCCTTGGTTCCACCATTCCCCAAGGTTCTGTTCATCCATAGAGCTCCTTTGGGCAGAGTTGACACTTGCTTGTCAGACTGGTCTGACTCTCACTCTGCACTCAAACCCAGTGTGAGACAGCAGGCCCTCAGCTCTCGTCTAAGTCTTACCTTGTCTTGCTTCATCCTCACCCACTCTAACACACGTTCCCAAACTATCACTGTGCTCACCCCTTCAAGCCCTTTCATTTTACACAGGGATAATCACCTACATTTTAAAAACATGTTTTTGAATGTTCTGGTGATTTTTTCTTTGCAGAAGAGCCTGCCTAGTTTTCATCATCCTGGGAAGTCTCTGAATGGGACAGTCTCATCTATCAGCCAGAGGCTTCTCTGCGAGTGGGAATGGCTCCATTTCAGATTCGGGACTCCTTAATTGGAGTGGAAGAGTCATTTATCAATTCTCTCTCCATCCACACTGCCACCACCTTAGTCCAGGCCAACCTGCTCTTTCAACCAGACTCCTTTCCCAGGTTGCATCAGATACCTCTATTACCTTCTCCTCGTGACACCAGTGGGAGCTTAGTAAGTCAGAGCAGACCATGATGCCCCTGCTTTACATTCTTCGGTGATTACACAGTATCCTATGGCAAGTATAAAATCTTTACCTTCACTTACAAGGCCCATATAATCTCACCTCTGGTGGACTCTCATCCCCTCCCACGATGCCCCGCACTGAGCTCCAGCTGGCCTTCTCAAGTTTCCCAAATGTTCTACCATCTTCCCTAACTCAGGGTATCTGAACACATCATTCCCTCTCCTTGACACATAGTTCTAACTCTTCAAAACAAGCGAGCAAACACAATGAACGAACCCTCTCACCTGGCTATGTTTACATGTCACTTCCTTCAGATGTAGGTTGGCTCCCCTGATCATAGGCACCTGCAGTTTCTCTTCTTTAACATTTATTGTCCTTTAGATTTATAATTACCTGTTCGTGTCTATCCTCCTGGATAAACTGTGAGCTCTGTGAACATAGAGCGTTTGTTTTTTGTTCACTGATGCTCTCCCAGTGTCTGACATAGAGCCTGGCATAAAGTAGGCACTCAAAAAATGTGTGCTTGTTAGACTGGTATGTACCAGGGCAATTTTAATTATATAACCATTTACATGATTATTTGATGAATGGCTGTCTCCCTCACTAGACTGTGAGCTCTGAGGGGACCAATATGAACAGACATGGTGCCAGCCCTCCAGGTCACAGTCTACTGTGGAAAATGCTCACGTAACAGTGCTGATGTGCAAGGGCAGAGCAGTGACCGGTGTATTGTGGGGAGGTTGGAAAGACTTGTTGACAGGCCTGGTCTGAGCCTTAAAGAATGAGCAGGAGTCACTAAGGAAGCCTGGGCATGGTGGGGCCTGGGGTTTACTGAGGCCTATAAGCACTTCAGTCCTAATGAAAATAAAGGGTAACACAGAAGTGGTGAGGGATAAAGCTTGAGAGGGCAACCTTGGAGGGCCTGGTCAGCCCTGTTGATGACGGGGAACCACCAAAGTCTGAAGCAGGTGGGACATGATGAGACTTGCGTTTTTGACAGGTCACTCCAGAGACTGGCATGGACTATAGGTCCAAGAGTGACAAGATCAGAAATGGAGGAAGACCTGTCAGGAGGCTGTTGCAATAGCCCAGGAAAGGAAATAGAAGAAAATGAACAAGGACAGTGCTGGTCAAGATGAGAAGATGGGACTGGTTCAAGAAATACTAGGCAAAAAAGGTGGATTTGGTGATTAAATAGATGTTTTGACTCAGGACAAGAAAGAGTCGGGAAGAGCTACTGGCAACTAAACTATGTGACTGGATGGTTGCAGTGCTGCCAGCTGAGGAAGAAAATGCTAAAGGGGGAGCGGGTTTATAGAGAGGATGGTGACAATGATTTTGGTATGTAGTATCTGCAGTGACTGTGGGATATCTGGGACACCCGGCCAGCTGGAGCTCTTCTCAAATACTAAATCTCACAGAAAAGGATTAGGAGTCTCCCTAAAATGAAAGCATTTGTTGAGTGAACAAAGCAATGTGTGAGGATAAGGTTCCTCAAACACCACCTTTAAGGGGCAGGCAGAGGAAGAATAATTCGTGAAACACGAAATGAAAGCCTGGAGAAGTATGTGGAGAACTGAGAGAGAATCATGCCACAAAAGCCAAGGCAGTAGAGTTTCAGGAAAGAGAGAGTGATCACTAGTGTCTAATGCAGCAGAAAGGTCCAGAAAGATAAGACCTGAAAAACACCACTGGATTTGGCAAGTGGTAGGTGAAGCTGAGTGTTTATATAGATAAGTCTATGTGTAGTGGCTTCACGGGTGGGGAGTTAAAAGAGATCATGTTATTGACTTCAAATTTTAAAAAGTAGGAGGTGAGCTTGTCTCCTGGAAGTAAAAGAGGAAGTGGTTGGACAGGGGAATTGAGGAAGAGTTAGGTTTGGGGAAAGTTTCTGAAGGCAAGGGGAGAAGCAAATATGCGACTGAAAAAGTTGCTGGGGCAGGGGTGGAGGGTGAGGGGCCCCAGCCCAGAGAGTTTGGGGAATCTGCAGTGGGCCAAAAAGCATCGTGACTTTTCCTACTAGTGTCCGTGGGCAAGCAAGCACACACACACACGCAGAGGAATGAACGGGCAGAGGGAGGCATATCACAGCACCAAGGGCTGTATTTTCTGGGGCAATATATGCTATTGGGTGCAAGAGAATTGGGGGTGCTGGGAATTGAGTGGTCCAGACGGAGCCAGCATAGGGAGGGAAGGAAGCAAGGCCAGGAAAGCACTGAAGACCAAGAACAAAATGGAAGGAAAAATGGACTGCAGGTATTTAAGAGGTTTCCCCGTGGCTCTCAGTACTTTATAATAAAAATAAGTACTTATTTAGTACTTACTGTATGCTAGATATTGTTCTTAGTGCTTTACATATATTATCATTTAATCCTCACAACAATCCTAGCAGGTAGGTATTATTAGTATTCCCACTTTACAGATGAGGAACTGAGGCTTTGAGAGGTTAAATATCTTGCCTAGGTTCATATAAGAGTAGGAAATTTAAGTTTTCTCTTTCCAAACAGGGAACTGTCAAAGGCAGAAACAACACCCATTCCCCTTGCTTCAAATGAGAGAACAAAGATGGAAGGCTAATCAACTACCTATTTTTCATGAGTTATGGTAAGACCAATGTTAAGGGTAACACACAGGAGGCCCTCACACAACATTTGCTAAATGAACATCAGACTCTCCTTCCAGTAGACTACTCAACAAAAAGCAAGCTCCTTTGGGGTCTCTTCTATTAAACCTCAGTTTGAAATTCTCTGAGTCTTCCTCAACAACATAAACAGCTCAGGTCACTCTCAGATTTTGCTGGGCTGTAGTGATGCTACACTACAAATGCTTCCAGAATAGAGGATTGATTTAACTGAAGCCAGAAGCCTCTTGGAGTCTTCCCTGAAGCAGGACTCACCCCAGTTGCTTGAGCTAAACAGTAATTAACTTTTTCCAGAATTCAGTTGGGTTGGTTTTGACAAACTAGCATGGACTGAAACAACAACACACAATGGCACTGCCCACCGGCAAAGCCAAGCCTCACTCGTGCCACAGGGATTGCTGTTTCCCCACTAGACTGTGAGTTTTGGGAGGTCCAGGATTGCACCTGCTTGGCTAACGTCGGTATCCTCAGGACCACAGAGTCAGACAGTGCTGGCTGTGGCATATACTCTAATATTTGAATGACTAGAGGAGAAAGTTGCTATCGCTAGAATCCTTTTTCTTCAAGGCCGAGATCAAACGTTCTCTCTTCTACGAAGTTGTGAATTTCCCAAGCGGAAATAAACCGCTCCTTCCCACGGATTCCTACCACAGGGTCGCTGCAGACTTTAAGACCGTATTTATTTCACTGTAGCTAGAGTCACACTGGTCTGAGTTGGGGTCTGTCTTCCCGTAGGGCCCAAGTAGGCCTCATCCTTGAGGCCCGGCACCCACACGGGTCCGGCGGGACAGCTCGGACCAGGCTGCAGTGAGGCGGCGCGGGGCCCTGCCGTAGGAAGGGCGCCGGCCCGGCTTACCTTCTCCTTGACTGCCTGGTAGCTCTGCTGCAGCCAGCTCCGCCACCATCCCACGTCCTCCCTGTGGAAGACAGACACATCTGGCGGCCCCCCAGCGCGACTCTCGCCCGCGCAAGAATCGGGTCTCAGTTCCCTCCTCAGATGTGGCCCGCGGGCCGAGACTTCGCAGGCTGCTTCCCCACCCCCTCATGCTGAGACTCCACCCCGCCCTTTCAGCTCCGTCCAGGCCCGCGCTAGCCTCCTGTTCCCCGCGGGGACCCTGGGCCAGCACCCCAACCCTGGAAGAATTCAGGGCCCAACGCCCGAGAAGGGGATGACTGGCTCACCCTTCCGCCATCTTGCCCGCATGACATCACCACTATTTACTGACCTTTGACTTCCGACACGGCACCGCCCCCTCAAGCACCGCCCCCGAGCGCGTGGCCCAATCCTCGCGCCGACACCGCCCTCAGCCCAATCTCCACCCCGCTCCCTCATTAGGCTCCGCCTCCTTGAGCTAGGTCCAGTCTCGGTCCAGAGTTCGGACTTAAAACTCGGCTCCTGGGAGACGCAAGAGGGAAGAGATATGGGAACATATGTATATGTATAACTGATTCACTTTGTTATAAAGCAGAAACTAACACACCACTGTAAAGCAATTATACCCCAATAGAGATGTTAAAAAATAAAAAAAACATAAAACTCGGCTCCTGAACGCTCGGTCCAATCCTCACCCCGTACTGTCTTCAGGCCCCACCCCAAGTGTCAGCCCCACCCTCATCAACTTCGAACCTCTCTCGGTATCCTCTGACATCCGATATGGTGGCCGCTTTGGGTCAAGATCAGCCGGGCGACTGGGGGCTCGGATTGCTGGGAGTAGAGGGGAGGAAGGGAACGAGCCAGCTTGGAGCTCGAATGTCTGTGTCCCTGAGCGCAGGGCTAGGACCGCCTCCCTTTATGAAACCCGCCACGTAGCAGCTGCCCGGGGTCTCTTCGGGCTAATTCAGCAAGCGCAGACTGCGGAGCTCTGGGCCGGGGTTGGAGGTGTGTGGAGGAAAATTCAGAGGTGACTTCGATGCAGCCTCTGGGGGGGGGCTCTCAGGAAATGGGGGAGACACATTTAGTTACCTCAGCTCTTGGCGACCCAACTCAAAACAACGTGAACTGGATGTGGACTGCAGGAATCCTGAGACAGTCTGGAGGAGGGGGATTGAGAGAGAGTGTGTGTGTGTGTGTGTGTGTGTGTGAGAGAGAGAGAGAGAGAGAGAGAGAGAGAGAGAGAGAGAGAGACGGAGGGAGAGACAGAGAGAGAGAGGCAGAGATTTTCCGGAGGAGGCGTCCCCAGCTCTTACTGCCTCATCTGCTACCAGCCTGCATCTGCGCCCTCATACTTTGGCCTAGATCCCATTGTCTCTCTCTCTCTCTTTTTTAAATTTTTATTGGAGTACAGTTGATTTACAATGTTATGTTAGTTTCTGCTGTACAGCAAAGTGACTCAGTTGTACATACATACATATCCAGTCTTTTTCATATTCGTTTCCCACATAGGTCATTACAGGGTATTGAGAAGCGTTTCTTGTGCTCTACAGTAGGTCCTTATTAGTTATCTGTCATCCCTTGTCTATGGGTGTAGCTTTAGTAATTCTCCCACCCCCGCCATTTTGTTTTTCCTCTTTCCAGGATTCTTTCTTTTTTTTTTTTTTAAATAAATTTATTTATTTATTTTTGGCTGCGTTGGGTCTTTGTTGCTGTGCACGGGCTTTCTCTAGTTGTGGCGAGCAGGAACTACTCTTCATTGTGGTGCTCAGCCTTCTCACTGTGGTGGCTTCTCGTTGTGGAGCACGGGCTCTAGGTGCGTGGGCTTCAGTAGTTGTGGCTCGTGGGCTCTAGAGCACAGGCTCAGTAGTTGTGGCGCACAGGCTTAGTTGCTCCACGGCATGTGGGATCTTCCCGGAGCAGGGCTCGAACCCATGTCCCCTGTATTGGCAGGCGGATCCTTAACCACTGCATCACCAGGGAAGCCTGGTGATTTCAGGATTATTTCTGTCATCATGCATGCTGTTATTTCTCTCATCTTAATAGCAAGCAAACAAAAACTAACCCTCTCAATCTGTCACTATTTCCCTAC